CTGTATGATGATACATAAAATCGCACATTATCTGTAAGAGATTTTCATGATTATAATAAAGTAGACTCTCCTGTAGAAAACTGCAGCTTCCCTAGAGGTCACCGTAGGAAGGAAACAAGATTTATGTAGCCCTCCGATAATATTAGTTCACCATAATCTCAGAGTAGATGGCATCAGTATTTCATTTGACCCATGTTTTACTCATTAACTACCTGAGCCAGCCTTCTTCGGTCTGGACTATTCTTAAAACCTGAGATGCTTGGTCTTCGATTCCAGAGACCCAAGTACAAAACATAGGCCATAATTCTACACCCATGGAATAAGCCCCCATGCATTTCTTAGCAGTCATGTCTGATATAGCTTATCTTAGCCTTAAATGGAAGAGATTAAGCAGACAGGTAAGCCCTGTTGAAATCAGTGGACTTAAAAGAGATAACTGAACTACACATTATGCCTCTAAGAAGTTAACATCAACACTTAAGTATCCTGGTGATCTATTCCTAATACATGTTAGTAGTAATAATTTCATGGGTTAGAATCTCATCAAATGTGAGATTCATCTATTCAGTAGATAAACATGAGCAGCTTTTTTTGAGGCAGATTATTATTATTATTATTATTTATATCATTCATAAATCTCACATTTAGATGCTATAAGATTAAGCAAGCCCCTGAACCTCTCCTAAACCATTATGTGGTTCTTTGGAGGGAGATCCCTTCACACCAGTCTCTGTTTGCCTTCTCAAATCCTGTTGCACCAGGGAGAAGAGCCCTCTCTGCACTCAAGGAATCAGAAAACCCAACTTGGCCGATAAACATGGCAAAGAGTCAATAAAGCTTGGCTCATCCAGCCTTCAAGGCCGGGTAAAGCTTTAGCACTGCAGAAGTTTAAGCTTTGGAGAGGTTCTCCTCCACCTCCTCCTCTGTGGTGACCGCTGGCTTGTAGATTACCCCTTTCTCTTCCTTTGCCCTTTGGAGGCTGAAAAACAGAACACCTGGGTTAGCCATGGTTGAAGCAGCAGCTGGGCATCGGCGATTATGTCAAAGGACTGTGATTTACTGAGCTGGAGCAGCATAAGGTGGGGACTCCAAAGGGCACAATAACAAGGAGATCAGAAGGCCTTATCTATTTCTGAGTCTGCGAATACGGGAGCCAGCAGTGGTCATTCAGACCACAGATGGGGTTCCTTTATGACCAGGTGAGGGGCTTGGGAAAACTCATGACGAGTGGACTCTGGCTTCTCCCTCGTGGAGGCAGGAATTGTCCCTTCTGGCCAGACAGCCTGGCACGTGATGCTTCTCTCCTGAGTCTTCCTCTTGGAAGAACAGCAGCCCTTCATAAGGCGAGGAGGATACCATCCCTGGTGAAAAGGCTTACCAGATGCTTGCATCTGTCCTCTGCCTCCTTTTGAACCTCTTGTGAAATGGCATCGGAATTAGGAGGTGGCAAAAGAGCAAGCAACGGGGAAAGGGTAGGAAGGGCAGGGACCCCAGAAAGAACATTATTTCTGGGTATTTCAGTGAACCGCAGGGATTAACTGAATGGGTCAGAAAGGCGTGGACGGTGAAGGGCCAGGGCCCCAAGCAAAGATGGAGCGGAACAAGCGTCTTACCTCTTCCTTCGAATCAGCCAAAAGGCTACCATGGCAACAAAGACAATGCCGAGGACGCTGGCTAATACCACAAAGAGGACAAAACCTGGGATCAGGTCAGGTGGTTGGGGGGAGAAAAGAACTTATTAGTGAGACCTGTGGATAGGAGAATCTTCCTCCTACTTGGATATGTTGCTGTAATCAGCCCTTGAAGGGAAAACCCAGTTAGATAAGTAGCTTTCCTAGAACATTTTCTGAAGATTAAGATGCTTTTATGATGTGGAATAAAATCAATTGGCCTTTGAGAATTTGGAGTAAGAGCATGACTCAGAGGTTAAATAGCATGGTGTAACTGAATGTTCATGATTTGCACAGCCTCTCTTCCATTGTGGTAAGATGTTGGTCCTGCATTAATAAGGACATGGGTGTGTGATATTTATGACAGATGTATAATTTGCATCTTCAGCAATGTCCTAGGCCAGCTGTCTTTTCTTTACAGTATTGAATAATACGCAATTTTAGGTTCAATCATATCTAAGAAGAAACTTTCTTTGTAGTTTGTGAAGGCCTTAGAACAATAGACATGCTGATTAAATTTTTCCAGTGGGTTGATTCTGAATTAGTAAGGTTAATGTTACTCTCAGGGCAGGAGCTTAACTTGGAGAGGAGGCAGGCAGGAGAAGGTCAAAAGGTCTGTTGATTCTAGATGTTATCAGAGCAATGGCAAGCTGCAGATTTTACTGGGAGAGGTGGAAATCACACTGAAGAACAGAGGATAATTTCTGCAAAGAGCTCTTGAGGAAAACATACCTGGACTCTGTTCACCTGGAGCTGGATCTTGAAGAAAGGGAGAAGCAAAATGGAAATGCAAAATCACGATGGTGTCACTGAAATCACTATTGGATAAAGACAAATCTAAGGAGGATAATCCTGGCCTCTGAATGGCAGGAAGGGGGAGTTTCACTAAATGCCAGGCCGGGCTTGCAGGAGAAAGAAGGGCAGAATGGTTGGGTCACCTCCCTTGGCTGCCCAGCCAGGTTTCTCTTGTTTACCCACATCACTGTCCATGAGGTTGGCAGGGCTTCCCAGCCAGGACCAGCCCAAGACCCTTGGCCATCCAAGCCAGTGGCTGCTCCTGGGCCCTTGTAGGTCAGGGAGACCCCATTGCACTAATCCTGCCCCTCTGCATGGTTTGCTATAGCACTTACTCAAAAGGAAATCCACACCTTAGTCAACTGCATAGTATAAACCATATCCCCAAACTTCAGCCATTTATCATTTCCATGTAACAACTGGGCATAAAACTATTGGATATGTTTTGAACTTTTGTCATTTCCTATGGCAAGTTCTTTTATGGAATTCTTGGTGCCCTCCGAACACCAAAAACTCCACAGTTCAACCCTGAGCTACATATATTCTCTTCCATTGGAAGTTTTTTTGTGATAAATTGGAATTTGGCTTGTAGTAATAAAATATTTCCCAAACCTTCTGCATTGGCAACCATTCCACAGTTAACTGGCTCTAGGCAATCAGCTAATTTGTGGATTTGCATGATAGGTTACAGATTGCAAAAGATTTTGCAAATTAGAAGTCAGATTCTAAAGGAGGAGACCCATTAGGCTTTTTTGCAGCAAACACTCCAGAGTCCTGTGGTGACTTCAAGAAATGTATTATGGAACTGCTTTGTGCAAGACCACATTATCTGTTGGACTAAGGCAGAAGTCAGGTGATCCCTTTTGACAGCCAGAACGCAGCAGGGATGTCCTTGTTCAAGAAGCAGACAATCCAACAAATGCAGTTAATGAGCTGAGATGAAAGTCTTCCTCCACTGCACGACCAATAGAAGTTACAAATACTGACCAGACCCCAGGGTGAGTCAAGATCAGCTATTCAAAAGCACAAGCTGGTTTTCTTCTTGGGGAAGAAAAGGTGGAAACATATTCATAGATTCAGCCCTACCAAAGCTCCGTAGGATGAACCACTGGCTTCTAAATAGGGGGTAAACAGGACAAATAGGGGGTTAAGGCATGGCCACCGTCCATCTGCTGTCCTCCAGGTGAATTGGGTCATCAGGAGATGGACTGCACACTTCTACTTAAATAATAGCTAAAAGTTCAAGATGTCTATAAACAAGCACGTGCCAACATCATGCAGAATCTGGCCTCCTTTCTCCTCCTTCCCTCCAGCAGTGCCCGAGTGACCAACTGCTGTAGATCCACGTCCAGGTGCTGGGAAAGTATCAACGTGGCAACACTTCCCCTCCATTGCTAGGAAGGAGCGTCACGGACAGGTTGAGTCGCCACTGACAGCAGGCAGAAGAGAGGCAGCGTGGCCGAGGCAGCCTTTGCATCAGCAGCAAAGACAGATGCTCATGAGGGCTTCCAGAGCGGGCTTGAACACAGCCCCCCAAGCAACTGTAAACACAGACCAAGCTTGCATTTTCCATCTTGTTCCTGGGCAGCAGGCTGAGAGGTAGGGCTTGCTTTCCAAATGAACCCGGCTGCCGACAACTGCAATGGCCCCGAGAAGCAGAAGAGCAGAAATCCAGTAGGAAGAATAGCAGCATCACGGTAAGAACCCTGCTCAGACACAAAACCCCTCTGCGACTGCAAAGCCCTTCCCGGTGAGCAACCCTAAAGGGCCTTCCCCCTTCAAAGCGGAGTAAAATTCCGCACATGCCTGGACGCTAATCAAACTGCAGTCTAAACATACAACTGGGTGGGAGCACTTTAGGTTGTTTCGGTGCCCAGTACTAAACCCTGTGGCTGTTTCGTTTTGTTAATGCTAGAAAGTCAGTTCAGAAGGCAATTCTGTGACAGCCAAGCCGACAAGGATCCTTGCCTGTTAAACACGAACACTGGCAAAGGCTTTTGTGAGTCAAGCGCCCCACACGCCTATGCCGTTTTAAAAATACGATTTCGCGTGTGGAAGGGAAGGGGGCACGAATATATTACAGCATCGACCTGTATTAAGGGGAAGGGTCCCGCCTCTTCTTGAAAGGAAACCCTCTCGTATGTCGACAGGGCAGATCTTAGTAGAATTCTGCTCCTGGGATATATCTAGGAGGAATCGGACACCTAACAAGTTTGGAAGTACAGTAACTGTTCCACTTCTGTATGCTCTGGGTTCAAGCGCCTTCGCTCGCCTCCGCTGTTTCTGATTCTTTTCCCTTCGCGTTTTCAAGCCAGCCGTTTTTAATTAAATGGATAATGAGGTCTCCATGTTCGTTCCTTAAGAGCTGCCTCACGGCGAACGCAGGAGGGAGAGGGAGACCACGGGAGGCCTGCTGGTGCCGGAGACTTCAGGATTTTTCTTGTGCTGTGTTTTTAAAACAAAGAATTGACTTGCCAAGGCAAGCAGAAACTGGTTGTGCACGAAGAGCCCGGGCATGCTGAGGGTGCGGCCCCGGCCCCGAAAGCCTCCCCTCGGTCCGCAGCCCGATCTCCCGCGTGTCCTTGGAAGAGGGCGGATCCGAATCCAGAAGGTGCCCGGAGTTCTTGGGGTAAAAACCTCGTGGCTGAATCATAGTGGATGCCGTGCCAGAAAGTCATTCCAGGTCATCTTTAGCAGCAAGCGAGGTGGCTACGGTTTGATGCCAGTTTGGGCCAAAAGGTCTTCGGCCGGTCAGTTTATTTGGGACCCACGTGAGTGAAAACACAGAGGGGACCCCTCCTCTCCCCATACGGGGGCTTAAAGAGGAGCCTGGCAGATCAGCCACAGAGAGACACAGACTCACCTTGACTTCAAAGCCTAGAAGGAAACGGCCTTTGTGAAGTCGGCCCCTTAAGCAGCGAGCTGGCAAAGGGACCCCTTCCTGTAACTGCCTGCTTGTCCGCACGCACACCCTGCCCGGTGCTGTCCTGGGGCTCAAGCCGGGAGGGAGGGAGGCCCCTTTGGTTTTCCCAGCCCAGTCCTCGTTGCAAACTGGGAACCCGATTGCTAATTTGCGCGCTTGTTCTGGGCGAGAGCTGCTGGCTCAGAGTTCGTTCTGGGAAGCGGCAGCTTCGGTTTGACTCCCCGATAAACTGGGCGGTTCTGCTCCTTTAAAAACATGAGGCAACGCAGGGCTTTTCCTCCCTTCTCTTTCTCTCTCTGCCTTCTGTGGGTGCTGAGTGTGTGTTTGTGCAGTCTTAAGCAGGGCATCCGTGGGGAATCCAAAAAGTCGCCGATCAAAGCGGCCGCCTTGACTTTTCTCACACGGGCGCGCCCCGCACAGCCCCGGTCTTAGAGAGGATCTCGTAGGCGCTGGCTGTTGGCCTGGCAGCTTTGCTTCTGCAAAATTTCCCGTCTAATTCCACTCGAGTTTGTCAGCCCCGTCCTCGAAAAGAAGTGTGTATAACACGACTAGGACAGCAACCGTGCTAAGCACAGGAGGGTCGTTGACATTTAAAGGAAATACTCTGTACAAGGCTAAATGTCATCACAGCCGTTGACATTTAAAGGAAATACTCTGTACAAGGCTAAGCTTAGAGCAAAATTTATTATAAATTTGGGAGCAATGCCAAAATAGAAAAGAATACAATCATCTTGGAGTGCCCCCCCCGGCTATTCTTTCCAAAAGCAGTCATCACTTGTATATACATCTCTGTATTTCTACATATTTATATTCAAACTTGTTTCAAGAAAAAAAATTAGCCATCTTTGCTGCTCTTTTGTTCCATAAATTGCAATTTCTTACATGCAACTCTGAGACCTCCGGTCGGCTATGCCAATGAGCCTCTCTTGGAAGGGACCGTGATTCAGTTTGGACTCGTCGTGGGCAGCTACAGGATACGCCCTCTCCCCTGTGACCCCAAGCAGTCTGCTCAGCACCCCCTCATGGTGGCTGGCTGGGGCTGGGGGGGCTGTTTATACAGTCTTCCCACCCCCCTGCTCCATCACCCCGCTTATTCGTAACATAGTGCAGGTCTAGCTATCACAATCTTCCCACGTTTTCCCACTGTTTCTTTCATGGTTTCTCTCCCTCTCTCTCTCTCTCTTTTTTTTTTAACAAAGGCTACTGTTCGGTCCATATTGCAGCGCCACGTAACACACTTTAGCCAATGATTGCAGCCTCCCATTTCACCAGAGTCAGATGGCTAATTTTTACACCCATGACGGTGGATTTTGGCAACCCACCGTGATGAGCCTTTCCTGCTTTTTACGTGTCAAACTCAACCTCCTGCAGGGCTTCGTCTGATCCTTTGAAACTCCCCAGAAAGAGTCTCCCTGCAAGGCAAAGTTGTGATTTCTTTGAGATGCACAAGACCACCGCCCTGCCCTGCTGCTGCTGCTGCTGCTGCTGCTCTGGACTGAGCGCCTTGGGGACCCCGGGGAGACGGGGCAGGCCTTGGGTCTAGGGAGAAGCGCTGGGCTGGATCCAGCAGCCCAAGGGGGAGGCGGCCATCAGCCGCCGGCCGCAATCAGTCCAGAGAGCAGAGGTGTTTCCCTTTAACCATCAAGGTGGGTGTGAATTTTATACTTCAGATCACTCTTCGCTCTTCAGCGCCCCTCCCAACTTACAACAAACAGTAATAAAACTTCTGCACACACACTGAGTTTGGTCAGACTCTTAAACCCTCCAGGACAGGTTTCAATATTTAGTGCCATCTGAAATGCATCTTGTTGTAAACCGTTTACAAACTTTTCTCCTGTGTTCCCCTGTGTTATAACATCATCAGTGACCATGACTGTCTTAAAAAGCAGCATTGGGGAAAATAACGTATTGAGACTTGTAAATAGATTTAGGGAGAATATGTTTAATTTCATATATTTTGTAGCAGAGGCATCTGTCTGTAGTTCTGAAGCTGTGCACCCAATTTCTTAATCTGAGGGCAGATGACGAGGCCTTTGCAGATTATGGAAAACAGAACTACAGGGTGCTGGGCTATCAGATTCAGTCCTCAAAGGATCCCTACTAGGGCAAGGCATAGGATCCAAACATTGGGGTGACCACAAGATCATCTAGTCCAACCCTCTGCAATGTGCAAAAACATTTAAACACTGCAGGAGAGGACTCTTAAACACCTCCAGAGATGGAGAACCTACAAGCTCTGTAGGGAGGCTACTCCACTGTTGGACAGACCTTCCCGTCAGGAAGTTTTTCCTTATATTTAAATGAAATCTACACAGTCTATGTGGGAGCACATTTCCCCCAAAATTTTACTCCTGGTTCTATCAAGCGTGCTACAGAACATCTGATGGCCAAGGACCCTCAGGGCAGCCTGGGCTTCAACCCTCCATCTGGGCACCTTTAACACTGCTCTAACTTCTTTCCAGCTTTTCAGAAAGTACCTTGTGATGTTATGGTGATGTTGTTGTTTGAGGCTGAACTTGGAATCCATATTTTTAGAGTAAGTCTCAGGTAAAGGCCATAATTACCAGGCCTTGCAGATGCACCAGAGTGGAACGTGCTTCGTAGCCACCCACTTGGCTGCATGCTGGGTGCCAGTCTTGCCCCCTTGGCCTGCAAACTAAGCCTAACACAGCAGGGGTCTCCATGGACCTTGTCTTCAGGGTCACCAGAGAAATGCTGCTGGAGAACGTATGGCTGAGAGCGAGCGCTCAGACATCACGAGCCCAACTCTTCTCTCGTTCAAATCAACCTAAGTCATCGTCATACATTTTCTTGGCACGAGGGCATTTTCTCTTGCCTACCTTGTTGGAAGGAGACAGAAACCAGCCTTTCATCAAATTCCTGAACTCTCCGGAAATTGTCCACCATTTCAAGAGGGGCAGGATCGTTCGACTGGGTGCAGTATAGTGTGGTTTCCAGAGCCAGCAGCTGTGAGCAAAACATTCCACGGTTAGCAATCACATCTTCAGAAGGGTAGGGACTGCCTTTGGACAGATGTGTTTTCCCCAGTTTAATTTTGCTATAGCTTAAAATGTTAGGTACTTGCACCATTGACTGCAGTTGAAAGAACCATATTAAAAAGTTTTTTTAATTCTGCAAAAAGTATATTTGCAGAATTAAAATGCAAATGGCATAACAGAAGAATCAGAATTGGTCGGATTCCTTTGAAAATAATGGACTGTAGAAAGCTGTAAAGGTGTTGCTTATGGTAAATTATGCAGTAGATGATGCATTTGCAAATGCTTCCAAGAATCCTACGCTGTTGGTGAGATGCATCTCAGGATCTCTTGAATTGTTTTATAGAAGACTGGGATATAACCATTCTATCTATCTATCTATCTATCTATCTATCTATCTATCTATCTATCTATCTATCTATCTATCTATCTATCACATCTGTTACAAGATCAGCATTTATCAGGGTCTCAGAAAACCTGGAGAGCCCTGAAGCGAGTGATAATTTCATTCAAGTTGCCTGCAAAATCACTTCTGTTAATTGAAAGTAATCTCTGTTTTATGGAACTTGCCTGTTCTGCTGAAATTTGTACAGGTTTTCGGAAAACTGTCCAGAGAACAGTTGGATAGCATGGAGGTGTGGTCAAAGATCCTTCATAGCGGTAGTAGTCATCCAGTCTATCTGGGAGCAAATCTTGGACATTGAAACCTGGAACAATTGTTTCCTGATCTGAAAGAAATCAGCTGTGTCATCAATTGGACTCATGCAACTTTGATTTTGGATGGAACATTCCCTAAATATTTATCTTGTCCTTTTCCCTAGAGTTTCAGATAATTCATCTATGCACTCAACCAACTTCTTTAGGGCTTTCAGCAGCCAACCACAGGGACTGGTTGTAACTGCATCTAGCTAAAGAAGCCAGATGTTTTGAAAGACCAAGGTCAGCCCGGCCAGTCGGTGTGGCTGCCTGCTGAAAACCCTTATGTGGCTGAACACGCCGCTGATGTGGTGTTGTTGTCATTTGGACAAATGCTAGAGTGCAGAGTTTGTTTACTGTCATTTAGGCAGAGAAAATAGGGACAGTGAGTCAGGCAGCCAGAGAGAGAGAGATCTTAGAGGATCAAAGCCTGGCAGAAAATAACCGTCGTGACAGCAGCTTGCTTGTAAACAATTTAGTCTCTTCTGCCTCATTCTTGCATTTTATAAACCAGATTGTTATATATATGTATATTGCAACTGTATATATTGCAAATTGACCTGACACCTAAAGCAAGGAATTAATTGTCCTTATAATGACCAAGTATCTTGCCTTGGCTGTTTGGGTTAGGGGCCCTCTTCTCAGTCGCAAATTCTTTCTTACCTTTGTATTTCACGTGCTGGAAATGGCTGAAGATCTTTTCATACGATGGATTGAATTGGCCTGTCTGTAACAAAATGGACAGGGTTGATTTTCTACTTGTTCTGGTCCCTGGCAAGCACGTGCGGCCACTGTTGGGCCCCAGAGCAGAAGGTGGACATTAAGCCACAGGGCACAACCCAGCAGGAAAAGCTTCTTGGTCATGGACGCAACGGGGAGCGCTGCACGTTCAGGGGCTCAGAAATTGAATGGGAAGTTGCACGTGAGGGGCATCTGGATTTTTATTTTGGGAGCCAAGTGGTTTTGATCTGGCCCAGCAGTTTGATTTATGCCTTCCTTTGCTGAGCAAATGAACTACTGATTTTGTGGGCTGCGGTAATTTAATTTCAGGGCAAATATACACTCCTGATTTTAGATCCACTTTTAGATGATCCTGAACTGCTCTTGCTAGAATAATCATCACACCTTGCTGCCCACCCTCTAAAATACTTAATCGTCATGATTGTGGCTCACCAAATCATTTGCAAAATAATCACTCTGGAAAAATAATTCCAAACATTTTAAGCAGCTGACACGTGAGATGGGGAGAGGTGGGTTTTTAAATCAGTACAGAAAAGTAAAATCATCTTGAAGCTGAGCTGGTGACTTCGTGGACACTCCTGTGCTTCTATGAAAACACAGAGAGAAGGAAAACGGTCCTTCAGCAGCACATGGAGGATGGGCCAGTTCCACCCGCGGAAAGGATGCTCTTTGCACTATCGAGTAGTCCTGGCAGTCCTCAGAGTCATCTGAAACCACCAGGTCCTGTCATGGGGGAAAGCAGGCCTCACCTCAATCAGGACTGCCAGGACAGCCAGCCCACTGGACTTGTCGACTGCTGATTTCGGATCCGGATATCGGTCAGAGTTATAATGAACAATGTGCAGCTGCAGAGGGAGAATAAAATGGTAACTGAGATTTACAAGGCTTACGAAAGAGGATGAGTTATGGCAGCATGACATGCTCAAGAGTTGTTCTGACGACATTTACACCTTGACTATCACTGAAAATCAAAATCCCACTGAGGGGTTTGAATTGTTAGGCAGGTTTGATTCATCCGTTTGTGTTCACGTACTTCCACTAGCCCGTTTGACTGCTGTTGGGCCTTCTCCTTTCTACAGAAAGCCAGATTAATCATGAAGCAGCGGATGGAGACTTTCTCCCTTCCCTTGGACGAATGTCCTACTTCACACCAGCAGCTTAAGCCCTAAATTTACAAAAGGCTTTGCGTTTCTAATTAAAAGCAAAATGTCGCATTTCAACTGGGCAAAAGGGCTTTTTCCCCTCTCCGGGTTGAGTGGTATTTGCCGTTTGTTTCATGCTGAGGATGGAGATTTAACCAAGGCAGGGACCAGGAAATCAGCAGCAATGACTAGGGCTGTCCAGCGAGTCCCCCCTTTGCAAAAACTGGCATTACAGCCTTGGTTGTAGGGCACTGGCAGGGACTCCCAAAGTGACAAATTACGGATGATCTCAGTTATGGCAAGGGGAGCTTCCTGCGAGATGGCCCTCCTTCTTAATAGCTGGGAGAACTCACGGGCTTTCTCCCCAGGGCACCCAATTCCCGTGGCCGAGCCCTGAACTCAGGGTCTTTTGTCTTTGCTGGTGACCTGGAATTATAACTTCAGGGCATCCCAGGCCTTCCCTAGACTTATAATTAGTCTGGGACATGAAACAATGTTATGGTTATGAATGGGAGGAATTGAGGATAATGACAATCCATTGCTGGGTCCTCCCATTGTGCTGTGTTCATACGGGGCTCCTGGAGGCCGTTCTTTGGGGCAAACGTGAAAGCGAGGATTGTGCAGCCAGAGAAACAGAAGCGATTAGCCGATAAAGATGAAGTCACGGGCTAGAGAGCACAAGTCTGCGTCTCTCTGCTGCTCATCTGGTAATTTCATCCCACGCAGCAATCCATAAGCGAATAGAGGGAGGAAAAACGGCTGTTCTCTGATTGAATTTGCTTATATTATCATTTGCTGTTGTAGTGTTTGAAAATGGGTGTTTGTTGGAAGAAGGAACAAATCAGGAAAGAGAGTGAAGGTCAGTGCAGGTTCTTGAAGGACGAGGGTTGGGGAAAGCCCCAAAGGTTTTGGGTGCTGAAATCTCTCGTCCGAGGGTGCTCAGGATGGCATAGGCAGAAGAAGAGAAAGGAAAGGACGGGGGAGCAGGGCCAGCATGTGCCGGTCCTGATAACTGCATCCGTTGACCTTTGACACATGAGGAAGCTGGGGATAATGGGAATCAAACGTCAAGATATCTGGAGGGCTGCAGGATGGGGACGGCTGCTATCTCGCATACAACAGACCGCAGCAGCTGTTCAGTCCAAGATGCAAACCATGAAGGGATCTCATTTAATGGCCCGCTGGATGCTGTAGAGATGAAAGCCATCTCTAGCTTTTGACAACTGATGCCCTATTTCCTGACATGGTCTTAAATACAGGGACAGATATAATCCAACAGTGCAGGATTGTCTCACCTCAGCAGCAAAATGCCTCCCACTGACTGTGTGTTCGGATCCTTCCTGCTTGTTCCGATTTCCCCAGTGCAAGTGGAGCTGCGCTGCCGAGTACTGGAAAGAGAGATTCCGGATGCGCATGGCAGAAGAAAGATTCATTTTTACTATGGGAGAAGAGAGGAGAGAGGAGAGGAGTGGCAGCATTGCAACATTAGGTGCCCAGGAGATACCCCAACCTCAGAGAATGCCAATGGTCCTTTTTTTAAATGCTCTAACTTGTTGAAAATAGCCTACCACAACTTTGTGCCTCCAGATGTGTTAGCTCCAACACTCATCATCCCTAGCTAGCATGGCCTGTTGAGGACATCTGGAAGCCAACTGTGTTATTTGATCGGTCATGCTCACAGCTGTTCAGATACCCTCAGAATATTCCTCCTCCGTCCTTATTAGCTGCTGTTACCTGAATGTCCATTATTGGTCAAAAGAAACTTGACAGCAGAAGATACGTTATAGCCTTCCAGTTCTATTGGCAAAAGTGTGGAATCATACTGGAGAATATCATTGTGGAAGTCAATGGGAGACTGGAAGACTCCTCCACAAAAAGGGTACTTCTTCGGCCACAGTTTTTCTCCATCAGGACCTAGGACAGCAAAACTCCAGATGTTCAAGTCAAGATATCGTCCCATGTCTATTCCTTCCTTTATGGGAGGCAAAGATAAGCCCCTTCCCCCAGTCAGACTCAACCCCTGGCCATGATATGCAAGCAGGCACCAGTCTTCAAGCAGACAACTGAAGACCCTGCAATTGGCAGACAGCACAAAGACACCCCTGGACCGAATAAATATCAGGTACTTGAGCAGAAGTCAGGGAAAAGACTGTCAGGCTGGCTGCAGGGAGGCCCAGTTTCAAATCCCTGCTCAGCCAGTTGCTCTCTCTCAGCCTTACATGCTTCCTAGGGAGATGATTGTGAAGATAAAATTGAAGGATCAGAAAGAGAGTCATGCCTGTTGCCCAAGTTCTTTGGGTATGATAAATTCTGACGAACATAGTTTCTATCTTGTCTCATCAGCAGAGTTGCACTTTTGGCTTTGATACATCACTGAACTGGGAAGTGCTAGTCGTGGCATTTCTAAGGACTATACGTTCCTGCACAATACCTTTTTCTAAGGAAACTCCTACTCTTAAGGCTACGCAGAGGTTCCCATCTTCCAGTTTCCTACGTGAATGGGAGGGAAGATGGACAGGACTCTGATCTGACTTATGAGTCACATCCTCTTCCAGTAATAGCAGGGAGTCCTTGCTGAACTTCAGCTGGGGTCTCCTTAGGAGGACAACAGTATCTTCAGCTGCATCAGGGTCATGATCCTGCATTCAGATGAACTTGGGGTCCAGTGGGAGGAGCAGTAAGCAGCCTGTACCATTGCCTAGGATGGGATTGTTCACCTGAACGTGCTTGCCTTATAGGCTGTCTACCGAAAGGAAGAGTGCAAATATATGCATGTGAAACCTGGATTGTATAACTGAAAGCTTGTTGGCTAGAAGGGGAGGTGTCCTCCTTTCTCAAATATGGCTCAGAAAACGGTGTGCCTGCGCTCGTGCATGTCCAGAGATGGCTGCAATCTGTGGGGCATACTTCCTGCTCTGGTGGCCAGGCTAGCACTGGATGAAGTCTGAGTGTTTTCCCCTGTGGCGTCCTGAGAAAAGATAGGGATTGGGTTCGTTTCCCATCTACCTGTGCTCAAACACGTGGTATGCTGTCAGAGGTAGCATGGAGAAGCCCCAGGCTCTTGGGATGCTTCGTCCAGACACCTGTCTTGGTGCACGTCTCAGCTGCCACCGGACAGCATTTCACATAATCAACCTGCTGACTCACCCAACTGGTTCACCTGGTAGTGATCAGCTCAGCCTGACATGATAGTTTCATGTGACACAATCGCCTTCTGTTAGACCAGGTGGTGGGGCTCAGCCACCGTGCTTAACATAAAACTGGGTTAAGAAAAGATAACCAATGTGATTTCTTAACATGCAGTGCCCAGACAGATAAACCCTATGATGGCTTAGCGTGGTAATCTGGTTCACCCAACATAGTAGAACGACTGCTGGGTTCCCGCAACACACTCAACCCCAAACTATCCAAAAACATCTTAGTGTGTTGCCTGAACTGATTACTGTGTGTTAGCCAGGCTAAGTTATGAAGCCACCCCCAATTTTATCACATGATGGCAAGTTTATATAAATGAATGGGAAGCTTGTACAGATTGTGGCATCAAGTATATTCTGCTATTAACTAAATTATACCTCCCCAGATCTAATCAGACGCGGAGCCACCAAGATAATGAAATATGATTTAATCTAATGAATGAAAACGGGGACTTACCGATATAGGACCACTTTGATCCTGGAAGGAAAATAAAAGGGACGTCAACTTCATATTAAAGTAGTGTTGCTTTACCCCATATACAAAACCAGAAGTATAATAAAACCATAAAGGAAATATTTGCAGCTGAGCTACTGTGCCTGGAGTTTTTTTGTCTTGAAAACATTGTTTAGTGAATAAACCTGGATTTGGAAATAAGATGGCCCCCATCCTTTTAAAACCTGGGCCAGCCCAACCTTCGGGCAGAACAAAGTAGGCGCTCCAGACTTTGAACCTGCAAGGGCAGCAGCTGTGGCTTTCTGTGAATTTCTCACTGCTGGATTCTCATTCCCAGGGTTGCTTGTGGAAACAAGGGTGGAGAAGTCTCTGTGCAGACCTGGCTGAGGACGCCCCACGCCCCCCTGACAATTTGCGTGCAGGTGGGGCCCTGATCTTATTTGCTCCTGGCATGTGAAACTGCAGCACGGGAAGCTTCAGGCGGGCTACTGAGAGCAAAGGATTGGAAAGCAGAGGGTCCCTTTGTGGGTTAAGGGATCTGTGGCCCCCTGCACTTGTCTATCCTTGACCCCTCCATCATTTGTACTCCCCTAGGAAATGTGCGGCTGAAGCACTGACTCTGGTGCGCTCTCCTCAAAAGGTGATGAAATTGCCACATACAATTTAAGCAGGGAAGAAGGTCTCTAGGCACAGTGGGACTGATCTCTGAGAAAATGAGATTGTAGTCCCATCTCTGGAAATGTCCATTTTGGGGAACATTTTGTCCATTTTGTCCATTTGAGAAAATGAGATTGTAGTCCCATCTCTGGAAATGTCCATTTTGGGGAACAAAATGTCCATTTTGCTCCACCAAACATTTCCTGGAGCATCGCATTTTAGGCTTGTGCAGAAGAATTCCTCCCTTGATTTGCCTGCTGGGTCCACCTGGTCTCTCCTTCCCCTCCTCCAAGTAACCCTGTCCCTCACAGCTCTTCCCTCCACATCTTTCTTTTTTAGAATCAGGACTGGGGCTTCCAATTTGCCTTTAAACAAGAACAGAAGAATTTCTGCAGAGTTTGCTCTTTTTTCAATCCTCTCCTTGGGATTCTTCTCTGAAGCCTTGCCAAGATCATCTTGTGTGGCCCCAGGCCTGGCATACGTGAGGAGGGTCAAGCCCTCTCTTCCCACAAAGGCCTGGGGGGGGGAGACCCTGCAGGTGCCCCTACCACCCTCCGTGTCATATCTCTTGGTTCAGGACTCTCGCTGCTAAAGAAGAAGGGAGATTCTCCCTTGTTGGTCTCCTTCCTTCCTGACCAACTTCTGCAGATTAAAATCCACTGGGTGCTTAGGGTCTCTGGGGCTGGCATGGCGCCCAGCCCTTTTCATGAAGGATACTGTGATGTGTGCCCCAGCTGGGCAAAGCCTGGCTCCATCTGCACTCTTATTGGAAGAGACAAACTCAGTTTGAGTTATTTCCAAACTAGGGAGAACGCCTGAAATGGCCTGATGGAGCTTCTCCCTTTGCAGGCGTGTCGGCCGGCTGCCCTGGAGACTCAGGTCTCAATCCGTGGAGGGACAGGAGAGCGACACCTTTTTGGCTTGATTGCTCCCACTAAGCTCTGGATGGAAGGTGAGAGGGCCAGTGGGGGGGGGGGGGGGCGGGGAGGCTCTGACAGCAACCGTTGCTGCCCCCGGCCAGAGATTTGCCTTTTCTTTCTCTGGCTCCCAGATGGAAGTGTTGTTGAAGTTGCCCTGGTCTAGTGATCCGCCAGCCCCCAGTTGCACCCTTAGATCTGCCGAAGTGGCATAAGGTTGCTGGGGGCTGGGATGAAGCTGCTGAGGAGGACTCCCGAAATAATCATCCAAACCAGACACTAAGAAACGCTCTACCATATTCTTAGCGCAAATTGTGGTTTGGTCTGAGCAGTTTGGATTTCTTCGGTCTCTTGGCTGAAAATATGTCCCGTGGAGTCACTGCGAGCATTTACACCTTGCCAGAAAAACCAGGGCGAGCCCAGCGACGCTCAGGACGAGACACCTGCTGATTGGGTGGGGGGGCTCCTTCAGCAAGGCCAGAAGGGGGTCCTGGAGCAGCGGGGGAGGGGGCTCAGAGC